TTGAGACCAATGTGTTAAAAACATAGTTTAAAATTTTTTTTCATCTAAAACATTACCCGAAAAATAATACTTTCGGGAAAAATTTATTTTTAAGATTCCCTTTAACTTGATTTTTTCACATATCAAAGAAAAACAATTCTCGTGTATCATATAGATATACATGTAGTATTTTAGATACAATCCATGAGATTCGGAGTGAAAATGCGAGATAGTAAATTCAACACATCAGCATTGCTAGTTCTCCTTCTGTGAATAGGAAATTAAAAAAATAGAACAAAATTTAACAACTCCAGGAAATGGACGAAAAATTAAAAAAACAGTAATTCAGCGATAGTCGCCGAAAAGCTTGGCGATGCCGACAATCGACAGATTAACAGCAAAACCGATTGTTGCTATATATATAGATACTTTTAAGATAAATCTTAATATATATTGTATTTTTTTCGTGTTGTGTACCTTTTTTTTTGTACAAAGATTGTACTTTGATTATTTTTTATGTATCTTCCATGTGCACACAAGTTCCTGACTTTCGCCTGCACTAAACATGCTAAACGGTGCTTGTAACCACTGGTAACCAAGTCAGTGAATAATTCATAAAAAAAATAATTATGTCTAAATCTAAAAAAATATTCCCTTCCATTAGAAATAATAATATAGGCAGCAAAAGAATTGATGACAAAATATAGCCATTAAGAGCACGACTTAAAAAAATCGTCTTTTAACCTGAATTTCCTCTGCTCTCACATTCTCTACTTTCCACTCACATTTTATTTATTATTTTTTTATGGTAAATGTTAAGAGGCCAGTCAGAAGTTAAACACTTTGCTACTATTTTTTTTATTATATAAGGAATTCAAAAGAAGTAATGTTATTTTTAAATTGTGCATACCATTCAAATGTGAACATTTATGAATTAAGGTTAGAAAACTTGTTGAACTTTTACTTATTTTTTTTTTCTTAATGTAGAGGAATAAAACGTTAATGAAAATTATTATCTTTTAAATCAAAATCTAAATTTTCAGCATGTTAAATTGATCAATATAGTTTAATCATAAACATGTTTAGATGTCATTAAAAAAATAAACATAATTGTCTATACAAGTTATCAGTTTAATAATGTTATACTATTAAAATAATTTTTCTTTGATATTTAAACAAGTGTAATCCTTTCCTTTAATAATAGTTCAAACTTCTTTAGTTCTTATCAATAACACAATACAAAATTAAGATCTTTCATAATGTAAAAAAAGAAACATGAGAAATGTCCGATTATTTTCGATTATGAATCGAAATGGTGTTTCCGATTCGATAATCGATTGTATTTTTCCTCCGATTCTGAAACACTATAAAAAACACATTTTTCTATGAAATGTGTTAGAATCTATTTAAAAAATATCAAATAAGTATTTGAATTACAAAACATAGATAAATGCAATCTGACGAGATTTTAATTACGCAATACGTTATATTTCCATTAGAGAACTCTTCAGAATTAGAAGCGCGTTTGTCGTCTGACTGGGACAGCATGGCATTGTGGATAATACAAAACATGCCAGTATCAATCCAATATCAGATGTTATGTGCATTTGTGACACTAACTAAAGAATAGAAGAACTAAAAGACATATGTAAAAAGGGCGAAAATCCTAACTATATCAATTATTCATAAAAATACGATATTTCTAAGGTATGTGTATTAACTTTAAATGTATATCATTGCAATAAATAAATACATACGGTCACCAATAGATGTAAACTAATATCCTTGCCATCTCTACTCTTGATTTAAATAAATTCCACGACAATAACAACTTTCGTATGCATTTTTTTAGGTTTTGTTCATCGTCATTCAACGTGTTGCTTACATGTTTATGTTACGTTTGTCCAAGAAATCCCGCGAGATTTGTACATTCTCCGACTTTTTTGCAAAAGAAGCGCACTATGATCTATAACTCTTCAATAGTGGAAATAGAACCGCTTTCATTTAAGGTTTTGTTTTGTTTGAAAATTTAGAACGAGCACAATTTAATAATTCAAAAATGAAGTTTAAAGAATTTGATAATGTAACACACTTTAATTATTATTTGTTGCCTTACTTATTCATTATTTAAGTTGTTAAAGAACATGGTATAATTTCAATGCGAATATAGCCCTGTATTTTTCCTAACTATAAAAGTGATCAAAGAAATTCAAATGCAAATTCTTTCTGAATCATGGATATCCAATGCAGTAAGAATACATAACTGGGTTTTCTTTTATGACCTCCTAAATGCTAATTTTGACGTCATAAATTTGAACATTTAGCTGTATTTTCTTTAAAAAAAAATTGCAAAATACATCAAAATTTCAATTGGAATTTTCTTTCAGAAAACATAATCTGCATGCATCAACCTCAAAAATTCTCAAATGTGTGTGTTCTAAAGCAATTTACATAATATATCCTTCAGTAAACCACGGCAGCAGACATTATTTTCCAAAGGAAATAAGCACAGACATGAGTCATTTTGGGACTTTTCTGAATAAAACTTGGAAATATACCAAATAAACGACTTCATATTTCCAGAATGGTCCTCTTTCATGACATTTTCTTCAATATTCACATACTCAACTATTGTTAAAGCAAATTCATAACTTTTAAGGAACAATATATTCCTAGAGCAATTAAAACCAAAACCGTATTCTTCTTCTTTCATTTCATCTTATTCATTTATTTACTTATTTATTCATTGAATTTCATTGTGCTTAGAGGAGAAATAAAATGCGCATTAAATAAGAAAACAGTGGTACATGCTCTCATTGCTCACCCGTGACTGTGGCCAGTAAAAAAAGGCAAAAATCATTTCAGTTTTGAAAATTGTCCCGAACGGGTCTGAAATGGGAGGTGGTTGTATGGCAGGCATGAACAAACTTGAGTCTAAATAAACCAAGTATGCTTGGTATTCTTTGACTAACTGGGACTTTCCCCTTTTATGTATGTACTTTCATCGTTGTCCAACCCTTCCCCATGGGTGATGATAGGAACAATTTGAATCTACAATTCCTAGCTATAGGAATGCTTCGAAATAAATAAATAAACATAATGGTTTTCCTGTTCTTGAGAAAACAATTTTTATATGAGTTCTCTCATGAGTTCCTATGTGGAACTTAGATTGTTCATTGTGGTCAAACCCTCCCACGGGGCCATCATTTGTACAGAATCATTAACACCACCTAAGAATTTGTCAATAGAAATATAACCAATCATGGCTTTTGTTTTCCTGGAGAAAAGATTTTTTAAGTTTTTAACTATATATCTCTATTTCAAACTTTGACCTTCTATTGAAGCCCCACCCTACCCCTGGGGCAACGTTAAAACAGACTTGAATTTATGTAACCTTAGGGTATTTCAATATAAAAGATCAATCATGGCATTGGCATTTACGGGAAAAAGATGTTCTATTTTAATATGCAAAAGCTTGTTCGTTCATTGTCGTCCCGTACGAGTCACTCCCCAGTTTAATTAAACTTGAATGTACAATTTATAGGAACCTTTCGCTGAAGTTTCAATTTTTTTGAGAATCTTTAACGATGCCACAATAATTTGTAAAAAATTGCGTGAAATTTTGTTTAAAGATGCTTCACTATTTAACGTTGTATATAATTCCAATATAGTCTGTTTCCAATTTTACTAATTCTAACATGTTTCTTTTTCACTTGTTTTAGGCAACTGTTTGGAAACTGACGGGGAAACCCTTTATTACGTCAATTGTCTTGGATTTTCAGCGGGTTGTCCTGACAAAGATTATCAAAGCAATACAATATACCTGTGTAAGATCATCGTTTTAAAAATGTCATTTTATTAAGATGTATTACTTAAAATAGAATCAAAACAACATTGCATTAAGTAAAATTGATTCATTGATATATTTATTCAAATCTTTATTATTATCATTATTTTGTATTTAGATCCTGCTTGTCAAAGCATCAATACAGAAAATAAATGTTTTCTTGCTGAATCCTCATGTCCTAATATGTGAGTATCTTTTTATACACCCCTCACCCAAATAAAATTAACGAAATGTATATGGTTTTAATTGTTCATGTTCTTGTTTCCATAACTTTAAAATAACCATATTTACATGTATCTAGAAACTATTATAAATGTATGAATACAGTGAAACTTCTCCAAACCGCCCCCCCCCCCCTGGAAACCGGTTCTCCCTGAATATCGGCCAAATTTATAAGTCCCGGCAAATTCCTTAACATTTCTTTACACATAAACTCTCATAAAACCGGCCACCCCTGAAAACCGGACACCGGCCACTTTTCCAAGAACAAAATTTAAGAAACATAGGAAAATTCCCCTCATCATACCGGCCACTTTTTGATTGCAAGAAATTTAACTGTCATTGGCCGGAGGGGTTATAATGACTGGAGGTGTGAAAAACAGCCTACCCATGAGAAGTCAGAGGTGTGAAAAACTGAATATGGCTTCATAGGGTTCTCTATTGTTTAACCGTCTTGAAGGGGTAATCATCTTGCCAGTCTGCGTAAATGGCTGGTCTAAGCTGTATATGACTGAATATGGCTTCATAGGGTTCTCTATTGTTTAACCGTCTTGAAGGGGTAATCATCTTGCCAGTCTGCGTAAATGGCTGGTCTAAGCTGTGTACATATGATCAACATTAATTAAACTTGAATTAATAAAATATCAAGCAACTAATAAATTTAAATCAGAGAATGAATTAACAAATTATCGCACGCCATATTGCATCATCTTTTTAAATATACATAAGCGGCCTTAAAATTGGGCATCGTTAAAAAATGCTAAAGAAAAAAAAAAAAATAAAATGTTTATCCTAACATACATTTCATAATAAGAATAGCCGAAGTTATGCTCATAAATGTTTTAATTATTTACTTTTAACTGAAGTACAAAAAAAATTTTAAATGACGTAAGCGAAACACAGATACACATGCAGTATACTGTATAGAGTTCAGTTAAGGTAAAGGGTCTGGTTTATTTCTTCGCATATGGTTAATAAAGTAACTTTCCATGTTTTTTTCTATTCTTATTTTTTTAAAATCAACAAGTATGTAGAATTTATCCTTTCTAATAATAATTTTCATTTTTCTAGACTATAAGAAAACATGTCTGCCGATAATTAATAGCATGTACACAGACAATTAATAACATGTAGACAATAATTATATATTTTCCCTAACATCTGTCACATAGTTCTGCATTTCTCCAGTTTGTTAGATTCTCAGGAAACCGGCCACCCCTCTAGTCCGGCCATTTTATTCAGTCCGGCAGCTGGCCGGTTTGGAGAAGTTTTACTGTAACACCTATAGATTTCATTATCTTGCACTTTTTATATTGAATCTTTACTGGTAACTTCATTTTATTTTTAGATATAAGGGGTGTTAAGAAAGTTCGTTCCATGATATGGAACTCAAAAATTTCGAAGTAGTACTTTACTAAAGAGACGGATTTTCAAGTCTGAAATAATCAGAATTGTGTGCTGTAGATTTATAGCAATTCATTTCTAGCAGGAAGTTATAGGATTTTTCTTCTATATGAAAAATAAATAACATCTTTAAAGCACCCAAATGATAGACATGCTGGTCATTTTGAGCAAAAATGAAGGATAATTTACTTCTGTGTCTTCATAGCTTATATTGCATCAGACAAGTTGATGAGCATGGGTATAAGACTGATATATTACTTTTCGTAAGAATAGGTTTGTCATTTTGAAATTTTTCACAGATTTGATAATTTTTTAATAGTATTTGAGATAATGTTCTAAAGTGCGTGCTTGATATATGTCAGAAAGATGTGTCATCCCGAATTTTTAGTAGCAGACATCATCTGCTTTAATATCTGCCCTCCCCTTATTGATTCAATAAAAAACAGTTAAAAACCATATCAGTAGCAAGAAATGACTGTAAACATGAAATATCACAAATTGTTAACATCTTCTCGTCGTATTTTTTTTAATAAAAGAAAAATGTGGAACGAAATTTCTTTACACCCTTTATAATAAATAATGCTACTTGGAAATGATTTCTTAAAAGTCTTTACTAATATAATATTAAATAGATTCAAGAAATAAGATTCGATATCTTTAATGATTCAAATTTGCCAGTAATAAAATACATGTTACAATTTCAAAATTACCGATTTATTAACTGAAAACTTAAAAATATTGTTTATACTTTTTGCTTCTTTATTGTTTATTTTATTATTGATCAGCAAAGTCACTCAAGACTCTCAAAACCTGTTTTATTCCAACTAAAAATTTGATGTCATCTTTTTTTTTTTTTTGTTTATTATTATCATTTTTTTTTACTTTTCTTTTATATAAGATCTGTGTTTGTTCTGCTCCTTGTTTGCATTGCATACTATTTGTGATCTCTATAAATCTCTTTACAGGTTCGTCTATATCTGAGATTTTAAATATCTGCAAACGAAGTTTTGAAATGACTTGATTGCCAAGGTGTCTAACATGTAGGTGAAATTAGGTTTTACTTATTTTTACAACAGCTCATGGAGCACTGTTACCAGCAACACATCATTTGATATCCAAATAACAACACCCGGGCCTCAATATGAATCATCGTATGCAGCAGAGATTGCAGGGGGTCTGACTGCTGCAGTGTTTATACTTGCCGTTGTTTTGACAATTGCTGTGGTCCTTTGGAGGAGAATGAAGAATAAAAAAAATAAGGAACAAAAAGACATACCAGGTATTCTATTCAAATGGGAAAATATTAAATTTAATGAAGAAAGTCGGCAAAGTTTATATTTCTAATATCAGATGTATGTTTTTTTAACGAATTTTCTGTATTTTTTCTATATCTCTTCTGTTCTTTTTTCAGCTGAAAATGAGATGCTGTTGCTAGCGGAGACGACACAATCTCAAGGTAATGTGTTTTGAGAGAAAAAATCTGATATTTTTCTTTTCATTTTTTATCGATGTAAATTTAACTCTACATTTTATATGATGTTGAATTTCTCTTCATTTCAAAGAGATTCATTGTAGTTAATGCAACTGAGCAGATTGATCACAATTCTCAAGAACAGATCGCAAACAAGACAGATGAGCAAAGTGACAAAAATGCACAAGATCAACTTGGCAACAGAACACAAGAGCGAACTGGCAACAGTACGCAGAAAAAAATTGACAACAACACTCAGATTCACGGAGGGAAAGACGGGGAAATTGAATCTACTTCCCCCTATAAGCTACCACGGGGAGCTACTGATCCTGATTATGAAGGTACCACACAGACATTACTTTTCCAAAACTTATTACGTACGTCACCTGCTTTTGCAAGTATATCTTTTCAAAAGATATCAAATTGGAATGCAATTACTAAATATTTCTTTTTTATTTTACGCGTCACTACATTTTTTAGCTCTACTGGTCAGAGACCAGAAGAGCTTATGCGATGGTAATGCGTCCGTCGTCCGTCCGTCTGTCTGTCTGTCTGTCTGTCTGTCTGTCTGTCCGTCTGTCTGTCTGGAAACAATTTATCAAAATGCTACTCCCCCTACAGTTTTGGTCTGATTTCAATATAACTTGGCACACAAGTGGAATACACTAAGATACATAATTCTGTGTATCGGTTTTTGATTTCGATGAACGGTGTTGCCGTGGTTACTAAGAATAGAAATTTCTGTGAAATTCCTTTCGAAATGCTACTCCTCCTACAGTTTTGATCCAATTTCAATATAGCTTGGCACACAAGTAGACTACACTAAGATACATAATTCTGTGCATCGGTTTTTGATTTCGATGAACGGTGTTGCCGTGGTTACTAAAAATAGAAATTTCTGTGAAATTCCTTTCGAAATGCTACTCCTCCTACAGTTTTGATCCAATTTCAATATAACTTGGCACACAAGTAGACTACACTAAGATACATAATTCCGTGCATCAGTTTTTGATTTCGATGAACGGTGTTGCCGTGGTTACTAAAAATAGAAATTTCTGTGAAATTCCTTTCGAAATGCTACTCCTCCTACAGTTTTAATTCAATTTCAATATAACTTGGCACACAAGTTGACTACTCTAAGATATGTAATTCTGTGCATTGATTTTTGATTTCAATGAACGGTGTTGCTATGGTAACTAAAATAGAAGTTTCTGAGAAATTCTTTTAAAATGCTTCTCCTACAGTTTTGCATCTTCGCTAGCCACTACTCTCCTCATAAACCCTTGGCCTACGGTGTTCATAAAAATAAGGGGTTTTTTTCCAGAGTTCTGATTGGATTTCAGTACATACAGGTCGCCCAATCAACAAGTACATAACAAATATGCCGTCATCGACAATCTCTATTCGGAATATTTCCGAACTGTTTACCGACATGAAAGAAAAGCGTTCCTAAACAATGTTCCGAAAGATAACAGCATGGCGGCCTCCAGCTCGCTAGCGATTCCAGCGACGTGCTGTATATATGTCAGTGAAATTGGCCCTAAACAACGCCGTTTGGTTTCTTCTCCGGTATTTCAGGTTAAAAGTCAATTAGAAGAAGTGTTTAAGAGACCGATACTAGACACTGATCAGTATGTATGTGTTCCCTGCTTTACCAAATTGAATCGTCTCTCGAAAATCGATTTCGATTTACAACACAAGTTAGCCTCATTAAAGGCTGAAAAAAATGAAATTCTTGAGGCGGTTCGGGCCAAGATTAAAACATTTACGACCAGCTCTCCTGCAAAAACAGTCCCCAAAAGACACATTATTCACAGTCCTACACCTCGTAAGTTGAAGAAATCCTTTCCTGCGAAACAAAAGAGGACACCTTATAAGGCCACGGTCACTCAGGACAGACCTGTTTTAACCCCCAAATCCTCAAAACGCAGAAAACTGTTCTTTAAAGATCCACCAGCAGACAGTATTAGGGTGAGTTACGTGTATTTGTTAGAATTAAATTGCTTAGTTCAAAAATGTTATAGATTTTAGCATGATAAATTTTATTTGACAAGATAATAAATGTAAGCAGGATAGCTTTAAAATGGTTTAACTTTTATGAAATTTTTCACATGGTAATATCTCAGAAAAAGCAGACTGCACTTTGCATCAGTAGAAAAAACAAATGATTATAAAGTACTATAACCTCTTCAGAAATACATCTTCGTGCCTTGTTAGAACATGTTAGAATATGGATGTAAAGATTAATTTTACTTTGATTTCATGTTCAGCTCCTAAAGCCATTAAATAATAGAAGAACTGTCACTGCTTTGCCTGTTTATTCAATATAATTTTTCTACAGATTTCTTACCGAGGCAAATTACAAGGAGTAGTAAAATCTAGAATTGTTAAAGGACAATGGAAAGATGTTTTAAAGTCCATACTTCGAGGGGACAAAAGCAAAACACTTGCCAAAAAAATTGTTGCCATAGAGTCGCTAAGAAACGACATACACATCTTAATAAATGACCGAGCTGTGAAGGAATTAAAGACCATGTGCAAGCTAAACAATCCATCTTTTCTCCGAAATACAACGGGTAGGGCTTTATGTGGGATGGATTTGCTGCCATTTATCAAAGAGCTACAGGAGAAGTGTCCAGTATTGAACAACTTCTTGGAAAGTGTGATGGGGAACTGCACTACGTTGAGGTTATCGGTTGCAGCCTCAGTCATCCTGTTCAACAGGAACAATCACATGTCAGCTGTCCACCATGTGATTGGTCAAATTCTAGACCAAGGAGGGGCTACTGATGAGGTTATTATTATGTGAAAAGATTAACAAAGACATTTTGTCTCTTATTGTAATTTTTGAAATACAAATGAGTAATGATTAAAATTATGTATAAGTACAATAATACTCTTATGCCTGTAGTTTGATGGGTAAACTATGGTATATGAGCTTTCAAGTAAAAATTATGTACACTCCAAATAGGTTGCACTGTAGAAATGAATTTCTAAAAAAATGTTGAAAAGCATAAAATATTTACTTACTAAGCATTTTGTGATCCAAGATCTGTATTTACTGATAATATTTATAAGTTTTTAAATAATATCTTTTTCACCAACAGACTATTAGGTTGCTGAACAACATGGGACTAACAGTTGGACCCAAAGCAGTGTATAAAAAGAAAGTTGAGCTTCAGGAAGTGCAGAGAAAAAGGATAAAGGACACAGTCTTACAACAAAGGCAGGAGGAAGAGATAAAAGCTACAGCAGATGATCTAACTAAATCTGCTGTACTGGTACTGATTCAAGAAATACATAATTATACACAATAAGTAATTTTATCTTAAAGGTTTTCAGTATATTTTTTTGTGCATACAAGATCAAATATTATTTATATTGTCCAGTTTCATCACCTGGCAATGGTGTTTATACAAACACATCTTGCTTTCTTAATTTTAAGTATCTATAGTGCAATTCATGTTTCTAAACATTTTAAAGTGTGCAGAATATTTGCTTTAAAATATCTTTTTACATTTCCTCCAGTATTCCCACCTCAGCCATGGTCAGTATGGAGGACTTAGTCAGTGCCTTCAGCAAAGTGTTGTATCGAGCCTGGAGGGAGGTTCTTGCATAAATAAACTGCATGAGACAGTCTTGTCACAGAATCAGAATGGTGAGTCTTTGCCTCTTCAGAGTATGTATGCATATAATAAATCTGGTGACAGTTGCTCTGCCCTTTATAGTCAAGCATCGAGTGGTTCAGAAAAATATATCTCAGTTGATTCCTCCAATGTGATTGAAAAATCAAAAACTCTTACCTTACCAAGAATTGAAGTGAGCAGTGACATTCACTTGCCTGAAGTAGATTATGCATCAGGGATTGGTCAAGAAACAGTATTGAATACCTTAGCAAATATTGAAAGATCTGAGATACATATTCAGGTGGCTCTTGTCTCGTGTAAATCAAAGCTTCAGACACCACTTCCACCAGTTGAAATAATAGGAGACAATTTTGATTGGACGCAGAGACCATCTTCAATGACGAAAACAAAGCAGGTTCAGAGTTATCATTGGTTTTTAATGCTTGGTGTACAAAGAAGAATTGTCAATTTGGACTTACCTGATGATTTCCCAAAGGCTGACATACTTCATGTACCTAACAGTCAATTTGTCCCTGATAGAGAAGAGTGTGAAAGCTTAGAAAATGACATGATTTTCCACATTGTAAAGACTGCTACAAAGTACATTCTGGCATTGAAGGATTTTCAGAAGTGCATACCATCATATATTGAACATCCTCATGTTGAAGAAAGTGGTAGAAAATCAAACTTCTCGATTCTAGACTTGTTGGACAAAAGTGAAAATCGATCAGAGGATATGATTACAATACTCGAGCATGTTCATGAAAACTACATTAGCCATACTCAAGAGGAGGTTATAAAAAAGAAGGTTTTTGGAGGAGACGTCCTCACCAACGAAAGGGCTTACTCGGCCCAGTTAGCTATGTTGAATTCCCCTAATGATTTTGACCAGTTGAAAGGGGTTATTCATAGGCCAGAGGGATTCCACAGGATAATGAATTTACTTGTGGTATACTTGTAGAGCAGAGAGTTTGAGTTGGATTGTTCATTTCAGTTTCTATTTCAATTCAGGTGATTGATTATGATGCATGAGTTTCAACATTTGTAAAAATTTTCACATTTAAGCTCACATGAATATTCATTTTTTTCAAAATCTATTTCACTAAAGAATCTAAACATGTGATACATTGTAAGTGTTTGGGTCTACTTTTTTCTAAAATTGTCAATGACAAAGGTGCATTTGATTGATTTGCACTAAATCTGTAGGAAGAATAAATCTGTTAATATTTTTATTTTGATCAAGTGGGCTTGAATGTTAACAGGTTAAGGATATCTTGGTAATTATGTTAGAAGTTATCAGTTGTCAATTTAATTTTAACAAATGTTTATTTTTACTAATAAAAAAAATCTTAATTATGCTTTGATATGCTATTTCTTATAAAAATATTTCTCATTCTCTGTATTCAAATCAAGTACAAAGTATTAAGTGTTTGTTATCATTTTTGAACAAATGTAAACCTATTTTCACTCAAACAAGAATTCTTTTTATAACTGATGAACATATAAAAATGTATGTAAAAGCTTTTTATTAAAATTTAATATCTTTTTTAGGGAATCTTCAAAACTTTCTACAAGTGCCAGTCCGCAAGAGATTTGGGGTCCTTGTTCCAGCTCCGTAATATCGTGAACCGAAGAGATGTTCATGGTCATGACACAGTCACAGAGAAATTCAGGTATTTAAATGTTCAATACCAAGTCAGTCTCTCTTTTTTTTTATTTTTGCTCTGGTGACAAAAAAAGGATACTTGCACATCATCGTAGCAAGTTAAAAGTTTGCAAATTAATGTATTACTAGTACATGTACCTGTATTCTTATGTTTTCAATATTTTTATTGATATTTGGCTTTATTTTGGAATTGTTTTTTAGCATTTGCACTCATAATAAGTTATAGTTGTGGATTATCTTCTGACACCAACAGCTAACAAAATTGACTTCAATATTCAGGGGGCCTCATACTCTATATTAACAGGGCACACTTTGCGTTTATTGAGGATGTCTTAGATGGCTACATCTGCAGTGCATTCCTGGAATATTTTGGAATGGAAAATTTGGAGTCTTCTCCAACACAGAATAAGCCCCCCCCCCCTCTCTTATCAACCTGGCCAAATGAAGAAAAGTTGAGGTGGCTACAGTCCATTGGAAGACATATCCTTGACGTTTACATCAAGAAAGGTAAGAAAGTAAAATTATGAGATACAAAAGATAATAAGGTCAATAAATAGTATAAATGAAAAACTACAATCCACATTATGGGTTTAGTGTTTGTTTGTTTTTTTAATTAATGTAAAGACATGACAGTTGCTTGTTCAAAATTGATACATTTTAATATTAGATTTACTATGTTTGATTTCATAAGTGAAAAAGTTTTCTTTTATAACTTGCAGAAATAGGTCTTCAAAAGTAAAAAATTAATACTTATTTCCCTAGGTACTGGTCTCTTGGAAGCAAATGAAATGGAAGAAATGGACAACCAAAGCGCCCAGTTACAGGCATGCTACAGTGCAGCAGAGAAAGTGTACATGTGTGAATGTGGAAAAGAATACAAAACTTTGGGCCATTTCAAAAGGCATTTGCAAAATGTTCACAACTGGACTTTCCCACAGAAAGGCGAAACCACCCCTTCTTCAAAGGATGGTGTTGCAGAAGCCAGAGCTTCATTCATGAAATGTTTGTTAATACTTCGTGATACATATGATGCCTATCAGATGGCAGACGGCAACCGAATATTCCGTATTGCAAAGTTTGAAATGCTTCTCGCCGATGCTTTTCACCATACAAAATATAGATTGTGGCTATGGAGATTTCTTGCGTATGAAAATGCACTACTTTCACCTCGTCAAGCCTTTGAGTATAAATGGAATTGTTGTTCCAACACCAATGGGGGAATTGGTAAAAATGTTCCAAATGATTTACTTGTGGAGATGAATGTTAATGCCATCAAGCAGAAGTTAAGATCTCAAGGTGCTAATGTGACATATGACAGTGCCAGAGTTATTGCACTTTCAAGTCAAGTGCAAGATGACATTAAACAAAACATTATCCAGCAATGTGGATCACATTTTGGAACTTCAAGGCCACCAGTCAGTAAAGTGACAGACATCTCCTTGATCATACAGGAGATAGGAAAAGGGCAGCTCATGAAAACTATATTAGGTCGTGAAGGAGTCTTCGCAAACTTTGTAGATCCCTTTCAAAAGGTTGATCCTACAACATTCCACAAGTGGATAAGTGCACAGAAGCAAAGAGCTAAAATTGAACTTATTTGAGGATCTCCTTGTAAAACGTGTCAATTAACCAGACAAACAAATCATTCTAGACTGAAAGTTCATGTACTGTATTAAGTGATCTTTTAAGAACTTGTCTAATTATACAGTTATCAGAAATTGGAACTCAAGAAATTTTTTTTATCTTCAAATTTTCCTTTCTTTGTTGTCCATATTAATTTTCAAGCATTTATTTCATGATTGATTGAAATTTTGACTTAATTGTATGACTGCTTCATGTAAGTATCCAGGGACTGTTAACAAAGTTCTGGTATAATATACTTCAACAGAAAGTAAAATTAGTGAAATATATCATTAAGCAGTGTATGTGTCATTGATTATATACACAGATTGAATTCACTTAATTAAAATATATTGAACTGAAAAGTATGTGTGTAGTTTTTAGCTCAAGTGAGGTTTTCTGATCATCCGTTGTCCATCGGCTGTCTGTCCATCTATAAATTATTTTCACTTTTTTCTTAATAAACAATGGGCCAATTTCATCCAAACTTGGAATAAAGCATCCTTGTAAAAGTAAATCATTGTAGGCCTAGATTTTAAATTGCTGAAATCATTATCCCCGGGGGTAGGGCGGAGCCACAATAGGAAATCCCAAGTTTAACACTGAAATATAAAGGAAAAATCTTTTGCACTACTAGGCCAGAAAAATTGAAACTTATGTAGAAGTACTCGGATAGTGTTGAATTTAAATTGTCCAAATTATGACCCTAAGGATAGGGTGGGGTCACAGTAGAAATTAAAAGGGGGAAAATCTGGTTTTAAGAAATGCTACTTGGGTGGACAATGTGGCCCATGGGCCTCTGTTTTGGTTTGCAATGATGCACACTGTACTAATAATGCTCGTTATGAGCTACAGCTGAACTTTGTTATCTTGAACACAAATATCTTCATCCGTCAAATTGATTTGGAAGTTCTATTTTTTTTTGCAGCATCTTATCCTCGTTACATGTAATCCCAACCTTGGATACACCAAAGTTTTTTTCATTCTTATCAAGTTCAAGATAATTAAGTTTGACTGTACTACATTATATAAAAATAAATTGAAAAAGACATAAAAAGAATTTAACAGTCTTTAATAATAACAGGAAAAATCTGAATACATGTATTTTTGTATACTCTTTACTTATAATTGAAAAGACATTTGTGGTAAGAATTTCAAATTAAATTAATCAAAGTTAAGTGTCAAAATAATTGTACTAGTATCTCAAAGTGGGAGGGGGTGGATTGTTTACAATTTTTTTTTTTCTTGAACAGATTAAAGTTAAAAATTTCATGACCAAAATGATTTTAAGTTAATGTACATCAAAGAAATATGCACTAGGAATTTTTTATTTCTTTAATAATGGCCACTGTTTAATAGGCAGCATAGTTGCAGTTAATGCAATTATGATAATCGTGTTTCATAAATCAAAATTCGAAGAATCATCACTGTCATCACATTCATACATCTCAATATCTCCAAACACTTCACTCAAAATAGTACATATTTTCTCTGAAAATTCATATGACCAAATAGGCAGAGTTGCCATAATATCTTGTGGAGAAAAAAGCTTGTCAGATTTTGCAACGATTTCTTCAATCACATTGTCTGTTAGGCCATGCATCAGTTCAGACGAAAGCAAAGTGCTTGAAATAGATAAAGAAAACTTCAATGCCATCAATTTATCTTTTAAGAGAACACGATCTGAGTCTGACACTGAACGTTCCATGCTGGGACAATAGCTCTCCCTTTCCATACATGCTGGGTGTGTTGCTGGACACGACTCGACACCACATTTACATTCTTTTTCACAAACGTCACAACAGTTATGTAAAGGGTTTATGTCCTCCTTGTTGCAAAGGTATGAATTACACAGAACTTTACGTCGGCACTGAGTGTCTTTTGCCAGCTGGACAAGATCTGTATCCACTTTTTTCAACATCCCTTTGTGAAGTTTGAAAAGTATCAGTTCATGGGACAGTTCGCCGGTTCGCCCTGCTCTACCCATCTGTTGCACGAAGGTGTCCATTTCATGTGGCAATCCATAATGAATTATGTTTTCTAAATAGGAATAGTTGACCCCCATTCCTGCAGCATTTGTGCATATAAGAATACGAATTAAGCCATCTTGCATCATGTCTGTTCGGATATTTTCCTTTAAGCTTTCTTTTGTTTTGCTATGAAACATATTAAAGTATTTACAATTTTTTCCTAGGGAATCAACAAAAGTGGAATATATCTTTTAGACTGTCAGAATTGTTTCACAGAAAATCACATGTCTTGGGAATGATTCTTTCTTTGCCTTTAATCCATCTATTAACCAACCAAATGTTACATGTAAATCTTCATTATTAGGCACCTGAGCAGATGTTATTTTGATGTTTTCCCTGTCGGGGGATTCTGCAATCACTTCAGCCTGCTTGCTGAAACAAAGTTTATTCAAAATGACTCTTCTCTGAGAAGCTGATGATGTTGCGGTCAATGCAGCCATGGGTGTTTTAGGAAGAAGTGACCTCAATTCACCTATTCGGGAAAACCACTCTCGAAAAGGTTCTTCCTCTTTTCTGCCAATCCCCCTGAAAATGGAACATAAATTGGATTTAATCATACTGAATACAACAATTAAAATAAGACAAGAAATTATATTTAAAATATTGCAACAATTCAAATAAGACAAGAAATTTTATTCAAAATATACCTTCTCCAAAAGATATTGAATATAACAATTTAAATAAGTTAAGATTTTTGTTTCATTACCCCCCCCCCCCCCATACATCTCTTAAACATTGTCCCCTTGAATTTTTTGACATGTATCGGATATTAAAATATATTACTAAAATAAATGATAAACTTTTGTTAATTTTCAATGAAACTGAATTACCACTGCACTATCGTATGCGCTTCATCCACCACAATTAATTTTATTTTTCTTTGGTATTCAGGAGCTTGCAATCTTTCACGCCATCTTCCATCTCCCAAGATGGATTCTGGACTGCCAAATATAAAATCACATTCCATTTTCGTAAGTTTTGGGTCATTAAAGTCCTTGTCTGAAACACATATAGCTGAAAACCCCAACTTTTGAAGTCTTTCTGTTTGTTCTTTCATGATAGAATGTAATGGGGCAATAACAAGCACACTCGAGTCTGGCATCAACAGAGGCATGCACTCATATATCAAGGATTTACCGCTCCCAGTCTTACAACCTACGAACAAATCCGTTCCGTTTAATATTGCACATATTCCTACACGTTGAATGTGCTTCAGCTCCTGGATATTGAATCGTTCTTTCAAAACGTCAATGTCTATGGAGGCCGCCATTACTGTTTACAGTGACGCTAAAGTACGACGTTTTTCATTGGCTAATGTCATGAGAAGGTTGATAGATCACTTGATATGAAAAATCCCCATTTTTATGAACACCGTAGGCCAAGGGTTTATGAGGAGAGTAGCGTATCAGAAACCCTTGGCTAGCGAAGATGACAGTTTTGGTCCGATTACAATATAATTTGGCACACAAGTAGACTATAGTAAGATACATAATTCTGTGCATTGGTTTTTATTTTGATGAGTGGCAAGGATCATTTTTTCTATTTATTGCTGTTTTAAAGTTTCAAGTCCCAATTGCTACTTTTCTCTTCCTTTGTTTTAAGTATAAACCAGTAGAGCTACAGTCTCGACAGAGACTTCTGGTTATACAATGTATAAATTTATAAAATTTTGCAAATGAATGATGTGTTTATAGAAGGGTCATTTAGGATATGCAGAAATGAGAAGCATTTTCTTCAATTTGTTTTGCTCTGCTAAAATAAATAAAGTAATATTTAGACCCTTATTCTCACCTTACTTCATGATAAAGATCAATGAACATCCACGTCATGTTCAAATAAATGATTTCGCCTTTCATATTATATGTAAAATGTTTCACATTTATCTTTTTTATTCCGTAAAGAAAAAGAATCCTGACGCTGGGCCATATAGTAGTATTCAGTTTGCCGTGTATTCTAATACACAGAGGCCACACATTGAAAGGTTCTTATCATCGTTCAAACAATAATTTACCCCCAGTGCCCATACACCCTTTCCTCCCTCTCTCCCTCTTTATCATTATTTTTTTTTTCCTTTTAATATTAAAATTTTAATATTAAACACTGGTTACATGTAATAATCATGGGATAGCTTACGCATTCTTTCAACCTTTTTTTCATATTTCTTACCTAAAACGCATCATTCGCCAGTCAAAGACACTCATCTGATTAATAGCAAGTTGCATTAGAAGCTCACTTCCGGGTTTAAAGCATAATGTGTTATATCTCGAGATAGAGATGACAATTAATCACTGATAAATACAAAAATTAAATAAAATGTACACTTAGTTTAGATGTAAGTTAAAATGTAAATCCATATGTAATAAAATTCAATTAATTCTCTTTTCCGAAATCATAAATAAGTTAGATACACATGATACACACGCATGCACGATCTGTAGTCGAATTGGAGGCACGGTGGCCAGTTGGTTCCAGATAGAAATAAAATATTTCATCTGGCGGTCGCCAAATAATGATTTCTGGACAGAACTGTTACATTTACTTAATACATCTTTGATCATAGCATCCAAAGTCTCAAGACCTCAACCCCCACTCTCACCATACAGAAAGTGGGTGATCAGTTACCTTAATCTGCTGGTTTAAAAATGATTTTGGGGATGGATCTTATTTTTCAATATTAATCTTAAGAGTACAATTAGACTATTTAAATGCCTTCTTGACATATTTTAATTATTCCAGTAGTATATATTTTTTTTCTTTTGTAGATTCCTATGTGGGAAGATACAAAGATTGGAAGACAAAGATATCAGGTGAAGATCTATTATTTACATCAGTCTGCTTTTCTATTTTTAGATCTAAACGAGTTCTTGATAATTTTTAATTAACAATAAACAAAGAGTTCTTTTCATAGATAGAATAAATTTATAAATTTATAGTATTATTTTCTTAAAATAGTTTGCATTACTTTCACAGTATTTATAGATGAAAGTTGTTTATACGTAAAACACCTTTACTTGCTGTGAGGGGGTTTTTAATCCAGGAGGATGAAAGTCATTTAAATTCAGTATAAAATATCTATAAAAAAAAATACCGTGAACGCCCCAGCCTCTATCGTGTTTATCGTGTTCCCGTCCGAACATTGGCATATTTTACATGTACGTTATAGACAGAAAATTGTTGGAAAAACAGCATCATCAACGCAGTTATCACAAGTTTCAATAAAACATAGTTCAAAAATCTATCTCATCTGAAGCTGAAATGTTCCTTACTTCCACAACACAACACAGTAGAATTCTGTATATGTCCCCCGCTTCCACTGAAAGTGGGGGATATTAATTTTAATCTGTCTGTCCGATGTCCGTCCAGCTGTCCATCCGCCCGTCTGAATTTCTGTCTGTCTGTAACACTTAATTTCGTTTCCGTGCGATACATCAAGAACACTTTGAACTTCGCAATGAAAAACT